CACTCCAGAGGAGAACTCAAATCCGAATGATGAGTCACATCCAAATTTCCAGGGGGGAGAATAATGAAAATAACGACTCGGATGCACAATAGGAATTTGAAGAAATCTTAGCTGAAATTGATCCAGCATGTGATCAAAAGTATACACCAATGTTAAAATTGACCAAAGATCATCCTCGAACTCAAGTGAGTAGAGATTCTTCTTTAAGAGTTCTTACTCGTGCTCAATAAAAAGCAAAGCAAACTACATTATTTTCTAAAATGGAATTTTGCATGTTTAATTATTTTATCCTGAAAATGGAACCTAAAACCGTTAAAATTGTTCTTGGTCATGCGGATTGGGTTCAAGAGATGCAAGAAGAACTTAATGAATATCGAAACAAAGTGTGGAGATTGGTTCCTACTCCAGCAGATGCATTTGTGGTTGGTATGAAATGGTTATTCAGAAACAAGATGGATAAAGAATGAAATTTCATTCACAATAAGGCACGTTTGGTCATTAAAGGTTATTGTCAAGAAGAAGGAATCGATTACAAAGATACGTTCGCACCTGTGGCTAGGCTTGAATCAGTTCGCATATTTATTGCCTATGTTGCTCACAAAAACTTCGAAGTAAATCAAATGGATGTGAAGTGTGTATTTCTGAATGGAGAACTTGAAGAAACAGTCTACATTGAAAAAACCTCCAGGTTTTGTGAATGAAAATTTTCTGAATCATTGTTATATTTTTGACAAAGCAGTATATGGTCTTAAAGACGCTCTGAGGGCATGGTATGAAACTCTAACTCGTTTTCTTAAACAGTCTAAATTCTAACAAGATTATGTTGATCCTACCTTGTTTTGGAAGAAGGGGGTAACTATTTAATGATAGTTTAGATTTATGTTGATGACGTTAGTTTCGGATCAACTAATCTCGGCTTAACTGTTGAATTCCGAAAATTAATGGAAACAAAAGTTGAAATGAGTTCTATGGGTAAAATTAACTTTTTCCTTGGCTTAAATATAAGATAGAGTTCGGAGAGAATATTAATCAATCAATAAAGAAGCCTTCACAAAGACGTTATTGGAAAAATTCGGAATGGTGGGTGATTCAAAAGTCAAAGTCCCTATGGCATTCGGAATGAAACTCACTCCTTCTCTTGATGAACCAGCAAAGGATATCACCTTGTTTCATTAGATGATTGGATCTCTATTGTATCTAACATCCAGTCGTCCTAACATAATGTTTTTTGTGTGTTACCGTTCCAGGTTTCAAGCGAATCCTTGAGAACCTCACGTGTTGGCAGTTAAGAACATATTTTGGTATCTAAAGCGAACTACTTCTCTTGGTTTATGGTATCCATCAAATTCTAGATTCTTTGTGCAAGCATACTCCAATGCTGACTTAAGAGGTTCTCGTCTTGATCAAAAAAGCACATCATGTGGGTGTCAGTTTCTGGATGGCAAGCTCGTTAGTTGGCAATCTAAGAAGCAAACTTGTGTATCCTTATCCACAGCTGAAGCATAATACATTGCAGCAGCATCATGTACATCCCAAGTGGTGAGGATTCAAATCCAGCTAAGAGACTATAGAATTAATATGACACGAATTCCTCTATATTGTGATTCCAAAAGTGCCATAAGAATTTGTTACAATCCATTACAACATTCCAAGACAAATCATATCACACTGAGATACCATTTTATTAAGGATCACGTTGAAGATAGGAATGTGGAAGCTCACTTCGTTTGTTCCTCAGATCAGTTAGCAGATATATTCACGAAGACATTACCAGAAATATTATTTAATCGAATTCTACAAGGGTTGGGAATGACTGAAGCTAACTCAGTTCCAAAATCCACTTCCTAATCATCAAAGTTACTTTTCACATTCTGAATGGTTCCGAGCTTGGGAAGCCATTTGTTTACTATTCACTTCCAAATTATTCTGATCTTTGGAATGGTTCTGAAGTAACTGTTCATTCTAATTTTGGAATTTTCTATCTTTGTAATTTTTTTTTTCTTTTTATTTATTTCTATTTTCTTCTTTTCAAAAAATTAAAATTCCAAAAATAATTTATTTGTTTCTGTATTTTCTTTTTCAGAACTTCAAAAACATCAAAAATATTTTCTTTTCTAGGAATCAAAATCTTCTTTCTATCATATCTTATCACAACTTCCATGTAGTTCCTTGATTATTGGAACAAAACTAGTTTCGGTATAGGGCTACAAAACTCTAGTTAAAGATCGCAAAATCATTGTTAACATGATTTTCGTTAAACTCCCAACCATTCAACTCCCAATTTGTTATTCTGCATTGTAACCCTTAAGACTCTCAGGTTTTACCACCGAGGTTTAGGTTACAAAACATCTGTGTTTATGATCTTGAAATCATTATTGGAACAATTTATAGTTCTCGATACTTACCAAACGAATTGATGGTGAACAAATCTCTGTTCCAATTATTTTAACAACTGAAGTGACGGATAAACCCATTTGGTTTAATGCATTTCATGTTCTAAATCTCATTTTTTTTATTGTGTGATCTTAATGAAATGCTCTCGACCCAAGTAATTTCTTTCTAAAAGATACAACTTTTTAGTTTATTATTGAGATGTCCATTATATCCAGTTACTTTAAAATAATATCCAAAGCTTACTTGTTTTTATGGCTACACTGGTCAAACAAGTACTTCTTTCAGATCTTCGAACTTATGTTAAGTTTCAGAATTTGTTAGAAGCTGAAACCACCCTTTAAGCCTTTCATAGTTTCTCAACATATGGATGATCGTAGTTCAATGGGAAACCACACAAGCACTTCGGAGTCTCTCTTGACCCAGAAAGAAGAGACTGTTGCCCAGGATCCACCAGCTTTTCGTATCAAAATTGTTTGATATCATAGAATCCCCCACATTAAATTTGCTTTATTTCTTTTTATTTGTCACACTCTTTCACTAAAATCCTTGTGATTTTACAAATTTCGGTTTCTATTCCGAATGGTTATTTGCAAAGTGGAAGGGTTGCTCAATGATTCCGAACGTGATAATTGCGAAAAAACTATTTCATTATTTTGGATAATTCAAATCTTGGTGCGACTTTTGAATTTCCGTGACACCGCGTGTTTGTTGTAATGGTTTCTAAGAGTCATTAACGAGTTGGCACGCTTTTATTGGCTAATTTTTTGGCACTAAAGGAGCGTGAAATGACGGTTTCTCTCTCCAATCATCATCTTCCATATAAAAGGCTCTCAAATGGTTCATTTTCTCTCACCGCAAACACAACTCTCAAATTTTCAAAGAAAAAACTGCTCTCGCTCTCTACTATTCATCATCACTCTCAAAACAAATTGTTGGTTCATTAGAGAATGCTCCCTTCGCCGACCAATTTGTATCAGTCATCATGCTCAATGTCAAACCAAACCAAAAACTAATCACCGACCTCGATGTGTCTCGCTAAATAGGTTGATCAAACCTACTGCACTGATGAAGGCTTTAACTATGGTAGAAGTTGTTCCTCTAGTTCATCTATCAAAAGCTTTATTTACTTCCATTGGCAACAAATCTGACGATGTCATCAACTTTGAGGTTTCCAACCACAAAAAATCTATCACAAAGCCCAACTTATGTAAGCTTCTAAGGCTTGTTACACTAGATGTTAGTGTCGATCCTGAATTGATTCCAGCAACTTATTTTATTGAGATGTTTTTCTATATGGGGTACACTGGTGATATATCCCTATTATCGAAGTTCAGAAAATCATTCTTGTCACCGATGTGGAATGGGTTGTTTACTCTTTTGATCAAAAGCCTTTCAGAAAGGGTTTCAGGATCTGATAGTTCCAGCAAGCTGTTTTATACACAATATTTATGGTCTATACCATGGAATCAACTTGGACTTTGTGTGTGTCATTTGGTATCAAGTTGTCCAAAGCAATTTTTCATCTACACGACACACGGAGCTTTCCTGTGCGTAGTTCTGGTCAATTGTTGTGAACCGAGCCCTAACTTACTTCAAGGTCCCTTTCATGCAAGACTCCCTGATGGCTGAAATTCTGATGCTCCAACCAACTACATTCTTCATGTTGGATCCATAAAACTTTGACTTTTTTGGCTCAATCCCGGGCGTATTACTAGAAAAAGTTCCGCTGGACAACGCCATTATTAGGGTTTATCGGAAAATGCCCTCTTCTGGTGTTCTTCCCATCCCAATAGAATTACAAAAGGTCATAGATGAAGGTGATAAACCAAAGACGGGAGGGAAAAGGAAAGAAAATGCTGCTACTTTAGAAAGCATCCAAATTCTAAAGAAGGCAAAGAAACCAGTTTAGAAACCGAGATCTCCATCTCCGATAACTCAAGAAGAATACGAAGAGAGAACTGTAATAGAAGATCAGGATGATAACACACTCTGAAATGAAGAATAAGATATTGCTCACACTTCTGAAATAGCACATGTTGAAAAAATTCAGAAGGTATCTTCTCCACCATCTTCCTCCTTTCCTACATCTGATATTTTTAAAACTATTCTACAAGAACCAATTCTGAACATCATCACTACACCTCCACCACCTCCAATCAATCCTACAGCATTACCTATGTCAAACTCAACCCTCGCCTCATGTATTCTGATATCATCCATCCCTCCACTACCAAAAACAAGTTCTGTTGAAACATCCCTTCCTCGGATCTCAATCCCAATTTCCCCACCCGTTTTCACAGACTCAACAGTTCTGACAACATCAACGGTTTCTACTCCATCATAAGTTCTGATAATTAAATCCGTTTTGGAGGAGATTCAGACTTCAGGCATCCTTAGAAACACATTTTATGTGGGGCCAAATGCTAACATTGGTGTGACTTCTGAACAGCCTTCCTGTTCGGTTCCTCCAAAACATGATGATGCTGACATCTTGTTTGGAGATGATCAAGAACCGCTTGCATATTTTGTCTTTCATCCATTCTCTGCAAATTTCACCAGTGATGATGATGAAGCACCTATGACGAAAGGCCAATTCAAGAAGTTGAATGAGAAGCTTAATTCAATCATGGAGTATTCGCATGCCTTCTCTTCTACAAAATGGGAAAATCTTCTCACAACTCATCGAGACACAGTTGAAATGCTCACATCTTCCAATGCCAAAGTCATTGAATAATCAAATTAAAGTTACTCAAGCTTTCGAAAACAGAATCTCAGAAGCTACTAAAAAGGTTCTGCACTTACAAACAGAAGTCAAGGAATTCAAGGTTGACTTCAGGACCTCTTCTGACAAAACTATTACAGACATGAACAAAGTCATCGAAGGCTTCCGATCTTATTTGAAAGCCGAAAAAGAAGATCTTAAAACTCTCCATGCAGATATTAAGCGTGATAATGTTGATCTCAATACAGCCATCACTCACCAGCTCACCAAGTTATAAAATGACTTGGCTGCTGAAAACAAGATTACGGATGCACTGGCTGAACAAATGCAGAGAACGAAGGTTCTTACTGAAAAGCTAAAGAATGCGTCAACTAATATTGCCAAACTTGAAGTAGATAAATCTATGGTTAACGGGTGCACTTCCAAAATCAATCAATGATTGTTGCGAATCGTTGAAACTCGCAACTCTTTATTCACTATTTTTGTCTGACAGAATCTCTCCAAAAAACTCCAACCCGTATTCGTGATACTGAATCAATTGCAGGGTGTTGCAGGAAGCGAAAATTCTACGAAACAAGGGGAGATGAGGAACAAAACATACCAAAGGAATATGATCGGAAGGATAATAAAGCTTCCATATCAGTAAAAGATAAAGGCAAAGGTGTTTCTGAAGAAGAGAATGATGAAAATTTGATGATGTCCGAATCAAAAGGGATTGCTTGAAAGAAAAAAAAGATAAAGAACTTGACTGTCACACACCCAAACCGAAACGGCGGAAACGTCCGGGGACGGATGACGTCATGTAAGTATCACAACACATGAATTATAGTAATCAAAGTACAGCCAACCATTGCATTAACAGGTATAAGTTTTACATAAGTGTTTTAAACATTACATATTCTAACATCAAGGAAATACAAAAGACAACAGGAGTCGCAGTCCGGTGCTAAGCAGTCTTCCTAAAACTTCAGAGGTGTACCTGTCTACTAGAACCCTGAGAATACAAGTAGATTTTGAAAGAGTATCAACATAAATCTGGTGAGTTCATAAGCATATTGTTTTAGGCAAACAGTTTTGGGTTCTTTTGAAAAATGCAATATCTTTCCCGGAAATCTCATACTGTCGGTGAAATAAACAAATACACATAAACCTCGAGAAAAAAAAAAGACCTTTTGATATCATTTGAAAAGTGTTCCTCAAGAAAATCCCTTATTTTCTTATGAAATTCATGATTTAAACCCATTTCTTCTATGACCTTTTGGTTCATACTAGTTATATATAAACTAATAAATCATGGAATCAATGATGAAAGTTCGTTAGTTGAATGATAGACCATTTATTTTTTTAAATACTAATGATTATTTAGGGAAATCCTACATTTCCCTTAAATGAAAAACTATTGAATAATTCATTTTAAATTAGATAATATAAGCATCAACTATACTTATATAGGTTAAGCATAGTTTCTTTTTGAAAATCCTGGCTACCACCAGTAAGAGATTGAGGCTGGGAAAATCTCTTATTTTCCCTGGAATACGAGAGGTTTTAGCTTTAATGATTCCGAAATCGTAAGATATAAGTACTACACTTATATTATTAAAGCAGTTATTTAAGAGAGTTATATTATTATTATTACGTAAAAGCTCTGTCCGATTGGCGATTTCTATGACCATACATTAATTTGATATGGCACGTATCGGGGCCAGTATCCTTTATGACATTTGTCACCCGTAGACCTGACGGTCCGATTGTAGCTAGCAGCCAGGTGCAGGATAGTCAGTCTCATATAGATCTATACACAAAATCCACACTTTCCCTCTAGGAAATTATGGTTCATAAGAGTGGTCCTCTGCTTAGCTAATGATTGATAGTATCCCAAGGACCAAGTCCTTCCCTTTGTTATTAAAGTGTACGAGGATGTGTCTCCCAATTAAATTGACGATTTTACGATTAATAATACAGGACAACCCTTTTTGATAATACATAAAATTTTATAAAATAGTATCCTTTGTTTTTATGATTTTGTAGGTTCATTTCCTTAGTTTTGAAAACAGCTTTTGCATGGTTCATATTTTAATGTGTTGTGTAAAACTGATTTCTAGATTTGTCGTATATTGATATTAGTAATATATTAAATGAAATAATATATTTGAACACAATATTACTTGTGTTTTTACTTGTATCCCCCCTGAAAAATATTTGAAAACTCGGAAAAATGTAGGGGTATGAACTCACAATTTCACGTGGGATTCGAAGGTAAGTCGGTAGGAAATGTTGAGTGCCAAAAGAAATATCGGGCATAAACGGATCCTATTTAACATATAGTAGTACATAAATGTATTAGATGAGGTTATAACACTATTAGTTATGGAAGGAAATCACCTTAGGGACTAGGAAACACTTGAAACTAAGTGTTAGAATCACATGTGATTTGAAAATGGGGAGTTTGCAGCCGTAAAAGGAGTGTACGGTCAGGGGTTTGCAGGCCAACAGGGTTTACGGTCCATGTGTTTATGGCCCATGGGTTTACGGCCTATGGATTTTTGGCCCATGAGTTTACGGTTGTAAACACTCGAGGAAAAGTGTCATTTGTGGCGTTTCTAGGTCCTTTCTAGCCTCTTGGAAGTGTTCTAAGTCCCATGCATGGCTTAAGGAAGGGTTTAAGACCAATAATTAACCAAAACTGGAGTTCTTGGCCAATGAAGGGTGTACGGCCGTAAACCCTCTACGTTCATACGTTTTAGCCGATTTCTAGGTGATAATCAAAGTTTTCTAGTAGATATCAAGTATAGGGAGTAGTTACTTACTATTAGGAAGCTTGAAATGAGGTTTTTAGCCACCAAGAACTGGTGTGTGTCCTTGGTGTTCTTGGTGAGAGAGAAAATCTAGAAAAATATAAAATTCATGAGAAGAAACATGGATTCATCACTAGAATAAGGAATGTAGCAACAATCAAGGTGGGAAAACACTTACATCTTGAAGATCTTGAAGACTTTTCGATGAAGGTAGAGAGAGAGTAGAGAGATAAATCCCTTGGAGTGTGTAAAGTGTGGAATGAAGGCCACTCATCCTTTATATAGAGGTGAGTTTTCGGCCAAGGGGGTGGAGTGGGGGTGTGCGGCCGTACACTCCTCTCGAAGGGGTGTTCGTCCTGAATGCTACGATATGACTCGGAAAAACTCATTCCTGGACCCAAACCTTGATTGTACTAAGCTTAGAATATTCATTTAGGCCCAAAATAATATTAATGAGAACAGAATTAAATCCGAATTGATTTATTTTAAATGGTTCGTGCAAAAGAAATTTTGGGTTGTCACATTGACGAACTCAATGCTCTTCAAAAGAAACTTAAGGCAAAAGAAGCTAAATTCAAGAATTCAAAATTAATTCTTGAAACTTAGAAATGCTTGTTTCCTACCTGGTCTCTTAAGTGTATTCAGAAAGAAGACATTGATGATCTAAAGCTATATTGGTTGGAGCCAACAACATCCTTTGACATAAATAATGATGTGGAATGCCAGTTCGATTTTCCCATTACCCCAAGGGTATTTCTCTTTAGGTGCTTCGAAAAGATTGAGAAATCTGTAATCTCTGATAATGCTGTAAACCGAAAGCTCTTTTCTTTTTACTTGAAATATGCGAAACCACAATATAAGATATGGAGCTTAAAAAGAATTATGGCATTGAAGGTTGGATTACAGGTTCAGATAGAAAACTTCTTGAATATTCAGTTCAAAGGATTTAGAGGTACCAATCACATTCTTCACGAGTTCACCTTGATTGATCTTCCATTCACGAACCCTTATGATTGGTTATCTCTATTTTACATTGTGGCGAAAGATGTCAAGAAATAGGAGCCAATTTTTGAACACTTGTAGCGAATGATCAAATGCTACATCCTAGAAATTGTGAAAATTGATGTCGAGATTGTTTCTGTTCTGAAGAAGAGGCCAATTCTTAAGCCATACGATCAACCAGACGACATCCAACATTTGAAGGCATGGACCATTCGAAAGAAGCACTAGAGCATTGTTTACAAAAGAAAGGAATATGAAGTGATTTATAACTGCATGTTCTTATTAAGGGCTAAACACTTATATTCCACAACTTCTCTAAAAACAATCTTATCTTCAGTTGAAGCCAACAAAGCTAATTTTGTTTCCATGATTGGAATTATGTTTAATTCCGACTCTAAAGTAGCCATGTCCATGATCGGAATTGACGTACTATTTTGTCTATAAATAATTTGTATGTAACATCTAGGGTTACAACTTTTTTAAGCAATTATAGAATATTTCCACATCCATGAACTATTCTATGGTTGTGATTAATACATTTGACTCATTTTCAATCATTGTCGTTCCTTGTCATTAATTAATATCATAATATAGAATTTTTCGATCTTTTATTATTTCTCACGACAGCTATGTCAAGCTTAAACCCCTAGAGTTCCAAGTTGGAGATAGGGTGATGCTCAAGGTATCTCCTTGGAAAGGAGTTATAAGGTTCAAAAAGAGGGGTAAATTGAATTTGAGGTACATAGGACCATTCGAAATCCTTGACATGATAGGTCTAGTTGCCTATCGACTTAGGTTACCCCAAGAGCTTAACAACATGCATGACGTCTTCCATGTGTCTAATTTTAAAAAGTGTCTTTTTGATAATATGCTAGTCAATCCACTTAATAAAATTCATATTAACCCTGAGTTAAACTTCATCGAAGAGTCAGTCGAAATAATGGACAGAGAGGTCAAACTACTCAATCAAAGTCGGATTCCCATTGTCAAGGTGCGGTGGAACTCTAAGCGAGGACCATAGTACACATAGGAATGAGAGGACCAAATGAAGGAAAAGTATCCTCACTTGCTCAAAGGAAGCCCGACGACAAGATAAAATTTCAGGACAAAATTTCCTAAATAAGGGGAGAATGAGATAACCGAGAGGTTTCGTCACTGATCACCATTTGGAAAGAGTAGGAAAATAGATGTAATAGCTTAGTATTCTAGTATTTGATCATGAGATAATAAAAATTAAATACTTTATTACATTTATTGGTTAAAACATCCATTAGGCTCAAAAATTAGCTTCCAAAAAGTTGTACCCTTTCCTAAGTTGGTTAACATACATGGAAAGTACTCATTAACATGATCTCAAGGATATAAAATTCGTAAAAATCCAACTCCAAAGGTAAGGGTTATGGATTTTATAAAACTAGAGATCAATCGTGTAATTAAAATTAATTATGTCAAAATGGTATTTAGAGATTGGTTGAGTTGTGACTAAAAGTGAAAAAAAGTAGTTTCGTAGTACTCCTTAAGATATAAACTTTAGGACAAAGTTTGTCCAAAATGGGATTTGTATGAGAGAGATATCATTTTTGTAAAATCATTTATTTTATCACCATTAGCCACGAAAATGAAAGTCAAAACTAGCTAAAATAACTTAAAGAAGAATTGTACTACCCATTAAGATTATCACACAAATATAGAGAGGGATGCGAACGGATCTCGCATGAAGAAGTTATGATTTTTGCAAAATCTTTTCGGTGGGCGATGGGCGCGTCTCTGCACGCCATACACCTAACACCGGATTTGAATAGATTGCGAGTGACATGGCCCACTTGGGAAGTGACATGTAGCATTCTCTAGATGGAGCCATGATGATCACACGCAACGCGTGCAGATATTTGTGTCGCACACACCCCAAATCCATGACTAGAAATAGAGAGGGTGGGCAGATCATTTATGCATGCCACTCTCATTCACTCTCTCTACAATCTCGAAGTAGTTATCCTAGGAGTGATCCCCAGAGTCCCAAGCTTGATTCAACCCTACATCAAAGGTCTTATGCGACAAGGGTAAGTTCACGGTCCCTGTTTTTACTATTTTAATTTTTTTACTGGGGGGACACATGTTTATCAAATGGTTTTATCAAATTATATTTATATCTATAAATACTAACCATTTTATAAAGCTTAAAGCATGTAGCTATAGATACTATACATAGTTGTAAGCTATGATATTATGCCTAAGAGTTATGATTCCCGATAGTCTAGGAAGAGATAATACCTAGATATTATAATGGCCAACTCCCTACGATAACATAGTACCTAGAATTATGTTGGTCAAATATAGGGATATGCATTATACATAATCGTTACTCTGGCCAAATATCATGTTTGAAATAACCATAATTACGGTATATACATACAATATATATATATATATATATATATATATATATACACACACACACACACACACACAAAATAATTATGAGATCAAAAGATATAATTATAAAATATAAAGTTTAAAGGGTTTATATTCTAATAGTTATAGGAAAGATAAAAAAATAAAAGATAAATACCTAAGGTTAATGTATAAGTGAGCTATTAATATTCATCCAAAGGCCTTGATTAAATTCGGATTCCCTCGCACCTATAATCGTTAATCTTGAAAGTGTTATAAAGATATGTACAGATATATACGGGGATTGACACCCCCAGTTGCGATTGCTAGCTACAGTCTCTGCAATATAAATTTATTATTATTCACTATTTGATGTCCGATGAAGTCTCATGGCAGGTCAATTATTATTCAAACAACATCGATTATAGGGGATCATGGTAATACATTACAAACACCTTAGAGATCCAACTACCATTAGGGACACCTTGGAGTTGTGGATAAATACGTTAGGGTTGTTTGATATCCTACAAAGATAGAACATTAGGATTAATGAGATATCCTAAAAGATAAGAAGATATGATCATTAGATATCCTAAAAAGATAGCAAGCTAGAGTGTTTTGGTGTATTAAAGACATTTGCAAGTAAAAAGTTCTTTGTCGACAATCCCAGTGACTTTCCTACTCCTAAGAAATCTAAGACAAAATCAAAGGGAGTGTTTATCCAAGAACCATTAGGTAAGGAGAAACCACTGATAAAGAGGAAAGTTTTGGTGTATTAAAGACATTTGCAAGTAAAAAGCTATCAACAAAGCCATTGGCTCGAATACTAAAGGGGATGCTTGTCAAAATTGATGATATTGAAACATCAGATAAGAATGAAAATACTGATACGGAGGATTTGGGTCAAGGTCAATCTTCGTAACACACTTGAGAATCAAATGTTGATGATATGGGTCACCTATTAAATGAGGTATTTCAAAATAATTGTCCTTATGTTTCACCGCCAAGGGTTAGCACTGTTGAATCTCATGCAGAGGAGACATGTAGTCTGGATATCCATGTGAACAAATCTAATATCAACACACATATCATGAATTTTGAAACACCTTTGACATCAGTTCCTGAGTCAAAAACTGTTATTTCACCAGAGGTTTTTCCTATCAAGTCTAATACGAAGGAGATTATGAATCTCAACATCCGTGAGTAGAGATGGCGATGAGGGCGAGTATTACAAGGGACACCAATATCCATCCCTATCCCCAAATACTTATTCCAATTCCCATCCCCATCGGGGAATATAGATAAACCCCCATCCCCACCTTCATCGGGGATTGGGGGAATCGGGGATTTCTTTTTCTCTTTTAATATGAAAACTTTTACGTAAAGAAAAAAAATCTAAACTTCAATTTTACCAGCATAAGTTTAAAGATTTTACAAAATATAAAAATATACATAGATTGCTTAAAAATATAAATAAATTTTCTACCAAATTTAAATACAGACATGAGAAATCAAGTAGAAAAAATTATCAGAGTGATATTTGAAGTAAAATAGATGAAAAAAAATACAAAAAAAAAATTACATGAGTTTAAATAAGATAAAAGAAAAACAAAGTATAATTTCAACCAAGTAATTACTAATGAGTTAGGTTACTTGGATCAAATTTTATGTATTGTAGATTGTACTATAAATATATGCTTTGTATTACTTTTATATATTAATATATATCAGGGCGGGTCCAAGGTCCGGGATTAAGGGTATCCCCATTCCCATCCCCATCCCTACTTTTTTATTCGGGGATTCCCCATCCCCGATTAAGTTGGGGATTCCCCTGTCTGAACGGGTGCGGATTTCGGGTTCCCCATCGTGTATGGGGCTTTTTGCCATCCCTATCCCTGAGCACACATCTACAGTGGACTCAAATGTCAACATTGGTGTGACTTCAACTATTGATACTTCGATAATTCTTCTACCACCTGCTACTCCACTTATTACATATGTTGTTCAAATTACATCTATTCCAACACACTCATCAACTTTCGTTAGGATCCTTTGTCATCTAATTACTACCTTATTCTTATCCCAATCCACTGGTCCTTCACATCATCAAGTAATGGATGATTCTCAGCTAATGGATGATGAAGATGATTTGATTTTGGTGCTCTTACTTTCGATCCTGATAAGAATGATATTGCAGATGAAGCCGTTATGTATGGGAAACAATACAAGATGTTGAACTACAATATGAACATGATCTTGCCATTTTTAAATGATTCTTCTGCAAGCACATCTTCATCTGTCAGAAAAGAAGAAGTGGATTCCTTATTGTTATCTCAAGAGTCGAAGTTTAAAGGGATTATCCATGAATTTGTGACAAATATTTAGGGTAGACTGGATGATAACATTAAGTCTTTCAAGTTTGATATTTTTAAAGTACAAAATGTTGCAAGGGAGCGGCATGAATTGTTGGAGAAGCAGTTATCAACTTTGAAAGAGTCAATTGAATTGAAAATTCAAGGTCTTTATGATCTTATTTCCTCGAAATTCAAGAATACTAGGGACTTTTGTTATGGTGTTCGTCTCAATGTTGATAGGTTGATCTCTACAGTGAACACGTTGTTGGAGGATGTCCAAGCCTTCAATGTTGAATATAAGGCTAAGATAGAGAAGAAAATGTGTCTGGTGTTACTCTTTTCAGAGGCTTTGAGACTACTCTCAATTCTTTTCAAACACAAATCTCGAACTATGAAAATATTTCATCTTCTTTGATGTCTGAAAAACAACTATCCAAGGCTTTAACTTCAATTCTAACAACTTTCAAAACTCAGCTTGCACCTATTTTGAACTTAGTGTTGAAACTTCCCAAAAATGCTCTATGTGTTTTGCAAGTGTCACAAGGGAGAGAAAAAGGAGTATCATTGAAAACGGGAAGAGACCATGAAAAAGGGAAAGTTGTTAGGAAAGTATTTTTATTCATGAAATTCCAATTCCCATTCCCAGCAAGCCTATTTAAATGATGGCAACAAATGTAACTTTAAATTCAATTGTAACTCCAAATATCAAAGTCCATATGAGTAAGCTATAGTCGAAGAAGGGCTTAATCATCAATGAAGGAATTTCTGCGATAAAAAATCAACAAGTATAGCAAGTAAAGACCGAGGGAAAGGTGTTGAGCTATCTAATGAAGAAATGAAGAGATTGAAGGAGTTGGAGATAAAGAAAGTAAAACAATTGAATAGTTTCTTAAGGCAGAGGGAAAATGATCCTTTAGGGATGAACAAGGGTGATATGAATAAAACTTGGAATTATGATACCATCGAATATGTAGCTTTTGGAGAAGCAGTTTTGTTTGAGAATACGCCAAAAGAAAGCTTTGCAATTGAGAATTCGACAATGCAACAGGTTGACTTTCCTTTCCATCCAGCAATTTTCACTTTCCCTTAGTTCAATTTAGCTAACAAATTTCAAGAAAAAGAATCTTTTAAGAGTTTCAAGATGAGGTTTCATGCAGATCTTGGAAAGAAGGAAGATAAAATTTGGTCTCTGAAGAAGTTGTGATATTAATTTCTATATCGCATGATGTGGAGTTTGAAATATGCTCCAAAACTATAGATACAAAGTCATCTGAACTTATCAAAGTGTTTGTGACTTCCCACTAATGAATCTTAACGATCTTATCATTATGGCTTCACTTGTAAAAACTCTTGATGATAAGAAAGTCACAGACAAGAGAACATACATTCTTAGGCATGCACATGTGAAGAATTTTATTGACTATTATCTTGCACACCTAAGGTTAACTGACTTCGAGATTAAAAAAGCTTATAACAAGCCTAGGAACAATCCAAATGTGAAGTTGGATGGTGTGGATCTCAAACAATATTAAGATGGAGAAAAAACCTTAAAGCCTTTGGGTTTTGTGTTTCATGGATAGAAAGTTAATGGTATTCAAAAGAAACATTTATTTTACATTTTTGTAGGACATGTATTCTGTAACAAACTTGACAAATATTTTGCTTAGAATAGCAAAGTGCCAAAAGAATACGGATGGATATAGTTAGGAGATAAGGAAGGTAGTTTGTTGGTATTTGGAGATTAGAAAGATGTTGATGGAAGTTGTGAAGACACTACCTATGGTTTGAAGAGGGGAGGAATGTTGAGTACAAGTTGATGGGAAGATATTCAGTATCGAAGTATTTATGTTTTAGTGTTTAAGTGTTATCTTATAATCTATATTTAAGGTCACGTACCTTCGATATATCTATGTATTTCAGAGATCACATTTGTAGTCTCACTTTAATCTCAAAGTCTCTTTGTACATTTTGAGTCTATTGACGTACTATAAATAGTATTGTAGTCTAGGTTATGGGTAGCACTTTTTCTGAACTCATTACAAACCTTGTAACTTGATTACTTCTACAATATATCGAGCTTAAACAGATTTATTTACCTTTCATTTTCATTCTCTTACAGAAATTATTACTTGAATGAATTCTTGACTCATCAATAATTGTTCCTAGTATGATGTTTGAATTCTCGACTCATCACAATGACGCATTTACTAGGTATCATTTCCTGGTCAATTTCTCAAAGCATTTGTTTAGGAATAGGTCATTTATAAGTGTATAATTTTAGATTTCTCAAAACATTAACCCATTCACTGAAATTATATATGTGTAATGATATTGTTTTTCAAATTTTTAATCAAATGATATTCATGGTAATGAAAATGGATTATTTATATCTACAAAATTTATTTAGTATTTTCAATATTTAATCTTCAATAATTAATACTTTTTTAGTTTCCAAAAACATTAATTATCAAATGTGACATCCCCGATTTCACGGCCAGAAAAGACCGATTTGTTTATGCTTTGTTTTATAAATCAGAGTATTTGTTTAAAGAAAACGGTTGCGGAATTTGTTCCCAAAACAAGATATGATAAAAACTTATCAAAACATTTCTCGAAGAGAATGTATTTTCATTAAATAATAAAACCTCGGGATGTCATGTTTCGATACAGACACATAAGCATAAACAGAACATACATTCATTTACTCTAGTGATTTACATCTCCTTTAATCTCTCAGTGCAAAGCAGCTTCGTATCGATACTTGTGATATAATTAAATTGAGTAGGTCAGGCTTGGGAGCCTGGTGAGCATATAGGATTTTCAACCCACAATAATACATTTATTATATTTAATTATCAAACAATCAAACCAAATACTCATTCCCATTATCTCCTTTATTTCTTAAGGATTTACCCTAAGAATCAACTATCCTTTATCCATTTATTCCTAAGCATTTGACCTAAGGAATTGACACAAAGTCCACCACTTCCAAGGTCCACAAATTATGATTGGTAAACACTTAGTTCAACATACTTAACAAACACCTAGTTATAATACTCCTAGTGAACAATTAATTCAAAACATCTGGTGAATACTTAGTTTTAAAACACTTAGTGAGCGCACTCAGTTCAACAACACCAAGTGAACACATCTAGTTCAAAAATACTTTATGAACACATTGAGTTCAAACACTAAGTGAACACATAGAGTTCTAAAATACCTAATAAACACATTGAGTCCAAAAATACCAAGTGAACACATAGAGTTCTAAAATACCTAATGAACACATTGAGTCCAAAAATACCAAGTGAACACATAGAGTTCTAAAATAGCTAATGAACACAGTGAGTTCAAACACCAAGTGAACACATAAAGTTCTAAAATACCTAATGAACACATTGAGTCCAAAAATACCAAGTGAACACATAGAGTTCTAAAATACCTAATGAACACATTGAGTTCAAACACTAAGTGAACACATAGAGTTCAAAAATACCTAATGACCACATTGAGTCCAAAAATACCAAGTGAACACATAGAGTTCTAAAATACCTAATGAACACATTGAGTTCAAACACCAAGTGAACACATAGAGTTCTAAAATACCTAATGAACACATTGAGTTCAAACACCAAGTGAACACATAGAGTTCTAAAATACCTAATGAACACATTGAGTCCAAAAAATACCAAGTAAACACATAGAGTTCTAAAATACCTAATGAACACATTAAGTTCAAACACTAAGTGAACACATAGAGTTCAAAAATACCTAATGAACACATAGAGTTCAAAAATACTTATTATTTCGTCTCACATCAACTATTTCATCTACTCATGTTCTACCCAACCTATTTGTAGATACAAACACATATACAGTTTAAATATTTTAAAACATGTATAAAACATGATTTCAACATCTATCTCAAGTAAACAAACAATGTATAAACACCTAGCACGTACTTCATAGCAAATATTTCATATTCACACATATAAGAACAAAATATACATATAACACGTATTTCGTATAAAATACTTCGTATTTATGCGTTAGAAGAAAGTAACCACAAACTCACTTAATCAGAATATGATCGGACAGCACTACGACTTGTAGAAGTAGTATTCTTCGGTGAAACCGGGATCACTTCACACACCTAGTTTCTCGCGGGCAAAGCTTCGGCTCGGAAACTCTTTTCTTCTCAGGATCTTCGGGCTTCAGTACTTGCTTCGGGTCTCAGGGTTGATATCGGGGCTTCAGGGGTACTTCTTTGCACGTAAATCGAGTTAATATGGGTGAGAGATGAGAGAATGAGCAACCAAACTCGGCTAGCCCCTCAAATCTATTTATAGGGCAAAAGTGGCCCTTGCCACGCCGTGGCACCTTTTTCCACGTCGTGGGCTTGGTCGTCACTGCATGCGTCATCTCAAGTTGCATCTGGGGGACTCCCGAAGGTGTCAGAAGACCTGCCACATCGTGGCACTGCTTGCCACGTCGTGGTCTCTGACACAGCTTTGGGGTTCGCGCCCCGAACTTCAGAAATTCATAACTTTCGCATACAAACTCCTTTTTCGACGTTCTTTATATCGATGTGAAGGTGAGATTATGCTCTACAACTCTCGTTTAGACTCCATTGGCTAAATTTGAATTTATTTTTAATATATTATAATTATATTACTTATATATTATTTTTAGTAGGCCGGGACAGGAAAACTCCGTTATAAACTCATAACTCCTTCGTCTGACGTTCGTTTTCGTCCGTCTTTCCGTAGTTGCACTACTATCGATGAGATATTCAATTATCATTTAGATTGTTTTGGATAAATATCACTCTAACGTAAATTCACTATTTACGTCACATTGTGTCGTGCCGGATCTGTCGCGAAACTTCGACAAGTCATAACTTCTTCGTTATAACTCGGATTTCGGCGTTCTTTATATGTACGGAATCCTTGTAACATATACTATAACTTAGTTAAGATTAATCCTTCTAAATAATCTTCCATCAAAAAGTCATTTTTGATTCTTATCATCTCTAAATTAACTAGCTCGGATCTACGGGCGTTACATCAAAGTCTAGGATCCAAGTTGTCAAATAAACAAATTGTTACTTATCCTTTATCTTATCCATTTGAATCCAACTAGGTACATATTGATTATCAATTATACACTAGTATATAAATCCTAGATTTATGGGATCGCTAATAACAAATTTTAATTAAACATATCTGATCTCATCTATGCCTCAGAACTCTCTTATTTAGATATCCTTTATCATAAAAGATTTCCAATCAAATCATCCAATTCAAACAACTTGTATAATCGGCCTGTAATTTGGTTATAGAAATCGTGAATACACTTCGTCCATCAAAAAATAGCACTAAGCATTTAGTTGACATTTATCCCCCTAGTGCATAC